GGAATTATGCTTAATTTTGCAAATTTATTTGGCACACTTATGCCAGTTCGCATTTATGTTGCTTGCACTTTTGCGAGTTTTTGCAACTGCTTCACACTTATACCAGTTCCCACTTATGGCAATTCACACTTATGCGAATGTTTGTAAATCTATTTAGCGCACTTATGCCAATTTACACATATGCCAGTTTGCACTTATAGTAGTTTGCACTTATGCCAATGTTTGGAATTCTTTTTGTGCAGTTATGCCCATTTGCACTTATGCCATTTGGCATTGTGCCAGTTTTTGTAACTGCTTCGCACATGTGCTACTTTGAGCGTATGAAATTCACGGTTATTCAGTCGTCCCATTATGGTAAAACGGCTAACGTAGAGCCATGCATGGGATTTGTATAATGGATTGTAAGATGGGAGTAATATCATTATAAAATTAAACAGAGTATTTATAGGAATGCACTTTTAATTTACTAACCTCTTCATCATAGCTATCACAAGTTTTTGACAGTTCTTACCACTAATATTTTGAACTCTTGGTTTCTAATAGAAAGAAATAATGGAAATCTGACAATTCCTAATTAAGTAGTAAAAATTATATATTGTAAAGAAAATTAAAAAAAAAGAAAAATCTGTCAAATCAGTATTTAGCAATTTACAACTGCAGAGATACTACAGAGTTACTAGATGAAACATTGTCAAGTGCTGAGTCAAACTTATCAAATTTTATTATGCTGTTAATTTCAGTTACTACTTCTTCTTCACACTATTTTATATTAAGTTTTTTGCATCCTTGGGTTTTTATCTCATTTAAGAGAAGCAACACATAATATTGAAAGTCTAAACAAATTTACACTAATTAAATTTTACATTGTCTTAACTAAACTACGTAAATAAATTTAAAATACATAAGTTTAACAATTTAACAACTTTACTGGTCTAAGCCTAAATCAGAGAAAAACTAATAGACAGTAAAATACCTAATAGTGGCAATGCTATATTATATATATTAGCATTTTTCTCAGATTTCGGATTAGACAAGAAAGATTGTCCATAGATTTATAGTTTTGATAATATTGAAATAATGGATTTCATGAAGGTGATTATTTAAAGTTGAAATTGGAACCTCATCATTTTAATGATATTTTTTAATATTGACAGTCATGTTAGCATTTTACAACAAACATTACAATATTATTTTTAACTAAAGACTTACTTGCTTGAGATAATGGAAATCCATAATGTTTATCCTTTTTATTTAAAGATGATGAAGATTGATGTGTCTTAAAATGAATCTCTTGGTCATCACAATCAATATCATCTTTGTTTATTATTTTTTGACCTACACAACACAAACATAGAGAATATTTGAATTTCATCTAACAACTTGTCTTCTCATGTAGAAATTTTACAATTAAAAAATTTTTACAAATTACTTTACAGATTATTAACTTTATAAGTAAAATAGGGTATATAGTATGGTATATAATATTATAGGTTTCATACTGCTAAACATTTGGTAATAACACCAGAATATCATTAAAGAATAAAAATTTTAAAACGACATTTTGAAGTAAGTCACTCCCTTTCTTGAAACAAATCATTATATTTTTTCCTTTCAGCCTTTTTTAACTATAGTAATTCCTTTATAAAAACCACTGATATTATTTTTAATTTTTAGAATTAAAGAAGAAAAAGTCTGAAAATGTTGTTCCCTTTTTTCAAATCCAAATAGATTTTTTTGCGTTAAAAGCAGTTGATAATTAAGTAGAATTAAAAACTTAATCTAGTTTTTTTAAGCATTCAAGTTTACTCAACAATTAAGTTACTTATTAGAGTAAAATAATCTAGCTAACCACACCATTAAAACTTTATTAATCATATCTACTTGATTCAAGTAGAAATACAAACACAACCAAGTTTCAACGAAGGCATACAACTTTAAACTAAAAATACTCCAATATATTTTCAAATTTAATTCTACAAAAAAACAATACAAACACTTGGTTGATTTAAATATATACTAATTTATATATTTTTACTTAAATAAATCAATTCGCCTAATCGAAGGTCACGCCATTATTTGCGTAAACATACTCTTTTAAATATTGCCGTTTAAATATTACGTTTAAAAAAAGTTTTTTTATCACGTTAAAAAAAACGTTTTAAAAACGTTCATAAGCTAACCGTAAGTTAATTAAAAAATTAAAACGTTTAAAAAACGCTAAAAAAACGTTTAAACTAACATTAAAAAAAACGTTTGCAAAAAAACGTTTTAAAAACGATTGTATTGGTTCTTTAACGTCCGACCGTAAATTGAACGGAATTAAAACGTTTTAAAAACGTCCTGTGCTTACTGGGGATGTAGTTGCAAATATATTATTACATTTTGATAATTTGAAAAATAAAGTTACATCTGTAGTTAAAAAATAAAGTCACAGATGTAGTTGCACAGATATTATTGCACATTTAAATAATTTAATTATACCTGTAATATTCATTTAACAGATGTTATTAGACACCAATCAATTTTTAAATGTTGTTGGACAGATGTTATTTGCAATTTTTATTTCTCTACTTTTACAATATTTTTCTTGTATGTATTTTTTTTTATATTTTTATTTTATGTAAATTTTTATCTATTCATTTTAAAATTTATTATTTACGTGAAAAATTTGATTTTGTAAATATTTTTATTATTTTTATTTAATTATTACCTATAATATTTTATATTTATATTTATATTTAAAAAAACAGTTATTTACATTAAAATAATTAACCCTAACCCTAACCCTAACCCTTACTCTATGTCTGACTTTGCTGCCTGGCCTAACCAAACCATCAGTCGATGTAGCAGTACTTCCTTGCAAGTCAGGCTATTTGTCAGTCGATGTATGTACATTTCGCTTTGCATAAAAACTATTTACGGGGACATTTTTTTACAAAAAAATAGCCACTTACGAGGACAAAAAATTATCGAGTACACTAATATGTCCCCGATATTGCTAATGTCCTCGTAAGTATCAATTTTAATGTATCATCTGTTCTCGAACATGCTATTCTATGTATATATATATATATATATATATATATATATATATATATATATATATATATATATATATATATATATATATATATATATATATATATATATATATATATATATATATATATATATATATATATATATATATATATATATATATATATATTTATATTTATATATATATATATATATATATATATATATATATATATATATATATATATATATATATATATATATATATATATATATATATATATTAGGGTAGGTCGATTTTAATTCCGCATATTGCGTAATATTGCAGTACTTGTAGACAGTTAAAATACGATTACTCTCAAAATTTGAGAGATTTTGGATGAAGAATCGCTTGCGTATTTAATTTTTAAGATTTGTTGGATTATGTAAAAAAACACCTTAAAAAGCGTTAAATGCAAAACTTGACGTTTTAACTATGTTCATGTTTAAGTGTTTTTCAATGCTTTTTGCTTTGCTGTATGATTTAAGTTTATAATAGTTTATAACAATTAAGCTAATTTTATAGCAACTTGTTAACTATTTGAAGATTTAAATAGTGAAAATTTTATTCTTGTATTTACATAAGAATATCAAAATAAACATTATTTTCACAATTTAAAACATTTTGGCTATGTATATATATATTTTAGGAAAATATTTTCAATTAAAAAATGTCATTATAAGAATGGGAATAATGCTCTTTTGAAATATAGGGTTTACGCTTCCTGCTAAGTAGTTTAGTTAAAATAAGTGTCGTTAAAATGCGTGTAGTTAAAATGCTGTGTCGATTCTCGAATCCATAAACATATTGGGATGCGTTCGACACAAGTTTTACCGCTCGCTCAACACTCTGGGAGTGAGATGGAAAGTCGGGGATTTCAGGTTTAACATTATTGTCAATCGTATATTGGATTTTCTCAATTGAAAAATATTAAGTTGTTGGGAGCTCCGTAAATTTAGTAATGCTGATATCTACCAACTCATACCAATGATTAGCATTAAAATTAATTTCTGGAATTTTTTCCCAAACTTTCGTTGTTTACTCTACAAATATAAATCAAATCCAATTATCACATTTAATGTATCATTTTTTTTTCAAAACTTTACTTTAGTTTACTATAAAAAAATACCTTTGCCTTAGATCCAGTAGGATTTGAAAACCAAAGTTTCGTATCTTGCTGTCATTATCGTTTAACATGGCATAAAGAATATTTTCAGGTTTTAGGCACAATGCATTGTTTTTAATGTTTTTTTTAACAATATGTTTAACATCATCAAAGGGGAGATTATTTATTCTAGTGATAATAGAAAAAATAAGGCGCGGGGATTCGTGAAATTTTGAAGATTTTTTTATATCGTACCACGCTAGGGCGTAAACCTAAACAATAAAACATACGAGTTTTTTTAAAGAAACAGTTGGTTGATTGTCTCTAGTATACAAACTGAAAAGACGAATAGCTAGACTTAACCACCTTGCATGGTTAAGAGGTCCAATTTTATAGGCGGCCCATTTATCAGAACTTTACTAAACTTACTAAACTTTACTTAACTTACTAACTTTACTATCTTTACTAAAGCCTATTCCTTTGCAATATTCAAATAAAAGTCTTTGATCGCAACTAAGGTCTACTAGTATTTCTTCTGGAATATATCCATCTACAATTGGGTTTTCAATACGATTAAACAAAACTTGATTTCTATCCTGAATATTTTCAGCACATCTTTTGCCAAGTAGACCACTAAAGCTTCTTGATCCAGTTGTGTCACCATCAAATTTTACAAAAAGAGCTCGTAACGGAAGTTCATTTTGATGTAATGCGCATCCAATTAGATGTAGTTTTCTTTTTAAAAACTCTTCTAGTTTTACCACTAAGCCACTTATTGGTCCAGTATTGGTAGCAGTATTATCAAGAAGAACAGCTTGTACACTTTCCAAACTCTTAAGTTCTTGTAAAACACTAAACGTTTCGATAGTAAGAACTAAACCTGTAGCACCGGTGACAGGAATCGTCCTATGAGTCAAATAATTTCCACTCGATTTTCCATCTTCATAAGTAAATATGAGATGATGTTCAGGTTTTTAGTACTTCTCCTTGAGGTAAGTTTATTACTATACTTGTTTTAGTTATTTGATCGAGCTTGCTGTCAACCCCACGACAAATTAACTGTTTTTTTTTGTTCTGAGTCCACCTCTTCACTAACGATTTTTACTTTTGACTTGGCCCTATCTAACTTGCAATTGTCAATCAAAATATCTTTAATATCAACGTCATTTTTCAAGAGATGTTTTATGTCATGTAGTAAAGCATTTGCAAGGACTGCACCTACGTTTGACGAACACTCATTTCTGACTAATTCCATTGCAAATCTTGGAAGTATAACTAAGTTGTGTTTTCCAATAGAATTATTTACTGGTTTCCATTCACCTTCATCCTAAAAAGAGTTAATAAAATAAAACGCTTTCTGCTTTATCTGTTACAAATATTTAATGTATTTATAAAATATTTACCTCCGTATTGGTCAAACCACTTGTTTCTTCAATTAAGTTTACTTGTGCTATGAGGGATTCATCTTCATTAAATAGGTTATAAGATTTTTTTTGTCGTTCTTTATCAAGTCAAGAAGAAATTTGATATGCACCTTTTGGACAAATTTTTTTCCTCTGATTACGAAGATAAGCTCTGTCTTCCAGAGGTACTTTATTACTTTGAGAACAAAGGCATACAATATGTTCTTTGATGCAATTTCACAAGAGCCACCACAATATTTTTTTTCACTTTTCATCCGTGTAATTGAAACCTTTTTAGCAATTTTAATTTTTTTAATGATTGATTTTTATAAGAAATATTGTTATGAGAAAAACAAGAGAACTCAATAAAATTTACTAAATTTTTTTAAACAAGAGGTTAAGCAAGTTTTTTAAAAGCAATTAAAGTTAAAAGTAGCACTGCAAGCAGTTTAAATGAAGCAGGTATGTATCTCATTTACTATGTTATAAATAAAACAAATAAAATTTTATTTGTATATTAAGTTATTTTTTACATGACCATTTTTATTTCATAATTAAATAACTTTTATCATTATTCTGTACTCAAGTTTAAAAAAATACAAATAAAAAATTTTTTTACGGAATATGAAAGCAGTTTAAGCAAATTGTATTTCTATTTTCAAACTAATGATTATCAAATAAATAAAACTAAAAAAAGTTCTGTCTCAGTCTCAAGTTTTATAGCAAAGTATACACCAGATAATCTGACTCTATTTATTAATAGAGTCCAATTATCTGACACTATTTATAAATAGAGTCAGATTATCTGACTCTATTTATAAATA